GCTACATTTAACCATTTGCAGCCCATTTGGACTTTGCCATTTTGTTCAAAGAGCAAGCTTCATCTTCAGTTTGATAGAACACTTGATCTGCTGGAGTGTATTTGAGGCCAGGGGGTCTCTGCTGTCTGCAGATCACATCATACTGCTTTCAGTTACCACGATGGGGGAAGGTCAAACAGTGTTTGATCACATTGACAGATATGAAAGGCTAAGTTTACATATCCAGCCGCTGTTATGGGCCACACTAAGCCACTTTGAAGGTTTTAAAAACGATTACAAGCAAACAAACAAACAAAACAAGAACCTCTCTAGCCTGGCTTATAATAGATGCAGCAGGATTTATGCACGTTCTGCAACCAACCATTAGAGAAGAACAAAAAAAAAAAAAAACACGTCAAAAGGCAGGGATAACAGGAAAGTTACCAAATTGTTTAATTTCCAAATGTAATTTGAATGCTGATTGTGGTAATAGTGACACATTCAAGTTTCTACAATAAACTTCAGTCTACCTCAGTTTAAGAAAAAAGAAAAATGTGGCAACACATGGTGCATAAAGACTGCTGTGTGTGTGTGTGTGCGCGTGCGCGCCTGTGTGTGTGTGGTCGACAGAGCCATGCTATTACCTCTGAACCTTTTTTTGTGATGTTTTTTGTGCATGAGATGATCAGAATCACCATGCTGCACTGATTTGAGGGGCACAGCGAGCAAAAACATTTGTTTCATCATTTTGTTATCTACCTCTTAGGTTCATGTTGAAATAGAGGCATTACTACATAGACTAGATAATTTTCCCAAAGATCATTGTTGTACAGATTAGATAATTTTGAAAATGGTCTGAAGTGTTTTTCCTGCATCTCTTCTTTACTAATTGGTTTAAAAACCACAAACTTATGTTGTAGTTTTAGCAAAGAAAAATGAGTTTCTTTTCCTTTTTTGACAGTGACCTTCATCTAGCCTTTAGGATAATTTTTTTTCTTACAAGAAATTTAAAATTACTGAAGTATGAAAAGTCATAGCATTTTAATTTTTGTTGAGGCTTAAGTCAGTCTGACTTTCCTTTCTTAACATTTGAGAAGGATTTGACTTCATTATTTTCCATAAGAAGTTACTTTACAGATAGGCGCTGCATTTACATCTGCTGATTTAAATACTGTCATCTCTCTTAAATTTCTAGACTTAATATGGTAAATCATGTTTTTCTTTTCAATTGAGACTTGGTAATTTGGAGTATTTGGGAATAGCTAGAAAGTAAATACTGTAAATGAATTCAATATCCACAAAGTATGGATCATTTTTCATCTGTAATGTGCCCCCCAATGCAGCTCCACTTGCCAGATGCCTCTGAATGGAATAAAGAGTTTAACTCCTATCATCAGATAAAGTTGTGTGGTGTTTTTTTGAATTAATGAGGCATAGGGACAGACTGTTCAAAGTACTTGCGGTGCTTTCATCAAGTTGGTCTTCTGCCCATAGTAATAACTGGATAAGGATGAACAGTCACCTGCAGGGATTCCATAGCTGCTAGGGCAGCCAGGTTAGAATGTTTGCACTTCCCTATACAAGCAGTGAGTGTTGTGGCT